GTGGTGCTGGGAGGCAGTCGGCCAAGCAAGACCCGCAATCCTGAGTCCTGAGCTTCCCCTCCCCCTTCCTCCCCTTGCCTCTCCCTTCCAGCTCCCTCCTCCCAGGTTTCCCCCTCCCGTCTCCCACCCTCATTGCCCCCCTCCCCCCACCTCAGTTACGTGAAATAAAGAGATTTTTTGTGGCAACGCTAGTGTTTTTATTGTATATCAGGAAGGGAGGTTAGGTAGGGGAAAGAGGAAGGAGGTGCGGGTGGAATGTAAGGCACAAGGCCCCAGTGGGGCACTCCAGGGGGACTTCAGTCCTCATCCGCCTGGAAGCTCTCTGCAGGGATTCTCGGATGCGGACAGCCCCCCGAAGGGCCTCCCGTCGACACAGAGCAGGGGAGAGCCACTCGCAGAGCTCCAGGAAGGTGTCCTTCTTCATCCTGAAGTTCTGGGTCCACTGTTGGTCTCCCCAGCGCTCCAGGACAATATGGTCCCACTAGTCACTGCTGGTGTCTAGATGCCAGATGTGGCGAGGCACGCTGGTGTCCGGGTGCCGCTCCTCCATGAACCCCGGGGGGGGCAAGAGGAGGGCTAGGGGGCTGGCCTGCAGCAAAAGGTGACAGGCAGCCTCCAGCTATTGCTGCCAGGCTTGCAGCAAAACGTTCAACATGAGCACCAGAGTGCCCAGGGGCGGAGCCTATATGTGGAAGTCAGGGAATAAAGTCCTGGTGTGCAGCCTCTTGCACACGGAGAAGTTGCGGTACACCCGTGCGTCGTGTGCCTTGCTGGACCAGCCTACTATGATGTCCATGAACTGGCCCCGGTGGTCAGGCACAGCCTGCAGGATCACAGAGAAGTACCCCTTCCTGTTGATGAAGAGGGAGGCCTGGTGGTCTGGGGCATGGATGGGGATGTGCGTCCCATCGATTGCCCCCCTTGCAGTTGGGGAAGCCGAGTGCACCAAACCCCTGGATGACCGAGTCCAGGTCGGTGAGGCAGATGACTCTGCAGAGCAGCACCCTGTTGATGGCCTTCACCACCTGCAGAGAGATACACAAAACCGAGGGTCACTGGGGTGCCCGGGTGGTTGGGAGTGTTTGTTCCCCGCCACTGCTCCATGCCTCACTCCCAGGAGCAACTCCTGCTGCAATCCTGGCCACCGCAAGCGGTCTGTAGCACGGCTGGGACAGACTGAATCCTCCTGGGGAAGGCACTTACATCACTTCCCCCTCGTTTTCCCTGGGGCAGCCCATGTCCTCCTTGCAGTCCCCCATCCTGGCCCAGTGGCCGGTGAGTGCCGTACCTGCATGAGCACCACTCTGATGGTGGATCTCCCCACACTGAACTGGTTGCCAACAGATCGGTAGCTATCCAGTGTGGAGAGCTTCCGGAAGGCGATGGCCACCTGCTTGTGGAGGGGAATGGCGGGCCTCATGTGTGTTTCCTGTTGCCACAGAGCAGGGCAAGCCAGTCGCAGAGCTTGAGGAAGGTGTCCTTCTTCATCCTGAAGTTCTGGTTCCACTGTTGGTGTCCCCAGCACTACAGGCAATGTGGTCCCACCAGTCACTGTTGTTGTCCAGATGCCAGATGCAGTGGGGCAAGCTGGCATCCGGGCAGTGCTCCTCCAGGGCCCCTAGGGAGGCAGGGAGTGGGTCAGGGAGCTGGCTTGCAGCAGAAGGTGTCAGGCAGCCTCCAGTAATTGCTGCCAGGCTTGCAGCAAGACGTTCAACATGAGCACCAGAGTGCTCAGGAGCGGTTCTGGCTCCATGGTGCCGAGTGCTGTGGTGTCCCAAATGAGAGTGACCAAAGCAGACTGAGAGGAAAACGCTTTGCTGTCCCTCAGCGAGGTAGGCAAGCAAGCGGGAAAGCTGAGAACCAGGAGTAACGGTAGTTCGGAGTAACGAGGAGTAACGGTAGTTCAGAATAGGAAGCCTAGTCCGAGCTACCTAGTCCGTGCCGCGTGTAGCCACATGGCACGGAGTCCACACTAGCGGACATTTAAAAATGGCGGCGTCCGGCGAGATGCAAATGTAGCCCGGGAAATTCAAATCGAACTAGGGTGGTAGTGTAGACATACCCTTAGAGGTTTTCCCACTGTTCCCAATAATAAATGATGAGGATAACTCACATGTCTTAATAGGTTTAAATATTTATTTTTGTTTCATTATTTGATTTCTGTAACTTAGGTTGCTTAAGATCTTTTTGGTAGACAAAGAACCTGAATCAGAAATTCTTGTTATCACTATGACCTCAGAACATACAATGCTCCATCACAGAACAACCCTCTGCAACTATGACACTATGGCTTTGCTCCAAAGTCCATTTTTAACCATATTGGTTCCTTTTCTAAGAAAACTACTAGGTCTTCTGATCTTTGAATAAAATAACTTACTATAGTGCACACCACCAGATACTAAAAGCTAGACTCCTAAATCTATATTTCAGCCTATAACTCTTATACATGTGGACTAAAAAAATAAATTACAGTCCAATTAATGCCAATAGTTCTATTCATATAAGTACATATTCCCCAGAATGAAAGAGGGGCCTGACTGTGGGCAAGATTCTTAAACCTTTGCTTTCTGGTTAGTTGCACAAGTGTACCCACTGAAGTAAACATTACCTCATGTAAAATCAGAAAAGTGTAATAGTAGAAGGGGCTTCCTCTGCACTCTAAGCAAGACTAACTAGACTATTCCTGATAGATGTTTGTCTAACCTGCTCTTAAAAATCTCCAGGATGGAGATTCCACAACCTCCCTAGGCAATGTATTCCAGAGCTTAACTACTCTGAGAATTAGAAAGGTTTTCCTAATATCCAACCTAAGCTACCCTTGCTGCAATTTAAGATCATTGCTTTTTGTCCTCTCCTCAAAGGTTAAGGTGAAAATTTTTTCCCCTCCTCCTTCTAACAAATTTTTATGCAGTTGTAACTGTTTGGTATTATCTATAAACTTCGGAAATGTACTCTCTATGACATTATCTAAATTAGGGGTGGAGAATCTCAGGCATGCTGGCCACAAGTGGTTTGTCAGATTTATCGCTTGGCAGGCCCTACAACTGCTAGTGGCTATGGTTTGCCATTCCCAGCCAATGGGAGTTGTAGGAATCAGTGCAGGCTAGGTAGATGCTCAGGTAAACAAAGTGTCTGGTGGCCTGCTACTGGCTAAGGTGAACTACAGGCTACTGGCTAACCTCGATGAACTGCAAATTTCCTTTGAAATTGATTAGATTTGTATGTATCTTAGTATAGATGTAGGAGCCTGAAATTTTGCACTTTTTGTCTATATACGTCAAGGTAAGAAACTTTATCTACACTTAAGATTTGTATGCAGTTAAACTCTTAATAAGTTGCATTAATGTCATATTTTGCATTATTACATATTTATATATTACTTTTCCCTACGCATAATACATTACTCTACTGTACATTCATATAATTATATGTTCTATCTGATACAGGAAGTCAAAATTTCATACTGGAATAGATAAAGGTCAGGCAGCTTGTGAGAAGCAGCTTTTCAAGGCAGAACTGATGGCAGCTTGTAAATTCATCCTGGTTAGTGCTAGTGTGAAACACTGAAAAACCAAGATATTTGGAACATTTTGCTAAATGTTATGAGTTACAAGAAAAACTTGTCTTGCATGGACAAGGAGACTAATTCTAATTACACTGAAAATATATTTGATAATGATTCAAGATTGCTAGAAATATGAATTAATGAACTGATCTGGAGACAGTTTTTATTTTTTGATAACTATACCAGTGGGAAAAGATCTTTAAGTCGCATCAAAATTGAAGTTTTATAATATCTGTTGGAAAAAAACAAATTTGGTTATTTTACTTTTGATTGGCAATGCAAAGTTTTAGCTTTCACATTTTCAGAATGGTGAGAATTAAATCACATGACATTTATTTCAGTTTATTGGGAACTAGTGATTATGTCTGGAAGTTAATGCTTCCGTTTGTTTTTTTTTTTTTCATTTTTAGGGTCCAATTATTATGTCTATTACAAAGTATAGGCACCTGGTATTAGAAAGTTATTCTTTAGGAAAACAATGTGGGTATGTCTAAACTACAGTGTTATTTCGAAATAGCTTATTTCGAAATAATGCGTCTACACACAAAATGCATTTTGAAATAGCATTTTGCTATTTCAAAATAATGAGTCCACACTTAGTGGACTCTGAATTGCATTTAAGGCTGGCCGGAACCAGTTCCGGCAGGGCACCAGATCAGGACTTACTGTGTGGGGTTGCTGTCTGAGGCTATCTGAGGTCTGTGCCCCTGGACAGCCAGTTCTCAGGTTTCCCTGCCTGCTTGTCTACCTCATTGCAGGACAGCAAAGCATTTTGTCTCTGCATGCTCTGGTTGCCCTTGCTCAGGACACCACAGCACCCTTCAACATGGAGCCAGAGCTGCCCCTGTGTATTCTGGTGTTTTTCTTGGACGTGTTTCTGCGAGTCTGCCTGCACTTTCTGCAGGCTGTCATCTGGGAGGTCCATCAGGGGGTTGTCAGTATCCAGGAGGCCCTGTGGGAGAGCTTCCACCCTGAGGAGCACTAAGAGCCTCCCTGGTCTGCCCCACTAGGGGCTTGTGCTTCATTCTTCCCTCACGTCCTTCCACTTACCCCTCCCTAACCCCCGTTCCTGATGTCAAATAAAATACACATATTTTCATGAACACAAGCTCTCTTTATGTAACAAAACTGCGAGGGGGGGAAGGAAACTCTGGTAAGACTGGAGAAAGGAGGCAGGAGAGGGGAGAATAGAGGGTGGGAAAGGGGAGGGGGAAACCTGGGAGGAGGGGATTGGAAGGTAGAAACAAGGGGAAGAATGGGGAGGGGAAGCTCAGGGTTTAGGGGTGGGGGGTCTCACCCGACCAACTTGATTTTCATGTGAACCTGCTCCTGGGTTCACATGTGGCCTTTGGAGGCCAGGCTGGCAGCTATCCTGCCATAAACGACCACGTTCCTCTGTCTAGTGCAGAGATCATGGACATTGGGGTCATCCCCCCAAACCTGAATAAGGTCCATGATCTCCACCCTGGACCAGGAAGTCTCCAACCTTTTTCAGGCCCTGGCAGGCTCCTGGAAGCTGGCAGACTGCTCTTGAGGAGTGGTGGAGGTCTGGCTGCCAGTGGCTTGCTGGCTTATGTTTTGGGGCCACTGGGTTGGGGCAGTGACTGCTGGCTCTGGGCTGGCAGACTTGGAGCTGGCACACGCACTGTGGCCAGAGTCTACCCCTTTAAGCGCTCTGGGGAGGAGGCAGGGAGTAGAGTGTTCTTGGCTGAGGCTGGAGTGGCCACCAGGGCTCCCTGGGTAGGCTGGAGGCCCCCTATTTCGAAATAAGTGTCTACACAGCGCTTATTTCGAAATAGCTATTTTGAATTTGGCATTATTCCTCGTAGAATGAGGTTTACCATATTCAAAATAAGCACTCCACTATTTTGAATTTATTTCAAAATAGTGGTTTGGTTGTGTAGACCCTAGGAAAGTTATTTTGAAATAAGGGCTGTTATTTTGAAATTACTTTGCTGTGTAGACATACCCTGTGTCATCCATTTCTTTTTTGCTATGATAATATTTGTTTCATTGCCAGTGCTTCAATAACAAAAGGATATTCTCTAAATGCTATAAATGTTTCATAGTTGCTTGCTTTGTTAGAAAAAACTAGAGAAATTCAGACTATTGCCAAAGATCACAGCCAGTTTTTGTAATCAATGCTTCTTTGAATAACACTCAGTGATCTTGGATTAGTACTTAGAAAAGCAGCCTCATAGCATTTGCTGGCATCTGTGTGCTTAGTGATTCAAAACTTATTTAGCTGAACTCCCTTGTTCTATGGATGTAGTGTGGGCTGCAAATAATATTTGAGAGAGGTTAATAGTGAATAAGAACCACCATACTACAAAAATTACCATGAGCTGCTTAAATCCTATAAAATACTGAATAGTTGAGCTGACAACAGTCAGAAGGTGCTGCTCAACCTTCCCAATCCACTACCCAAAGCCTCTTCTGCTGAGAGCCCCAGTATAGGGGCTTCATAGGAAGCAATGCATAGGGATACCCAACCTATTTTATATAGACCAGAAGGATTCTTGCAATGGGAGTATCCTCCGTGTATTGAAGTAATAGAATATGTTTAGGTAATAATGTGCCAGCTTTTACCCCTCTTATATTCACTTTCAGATTATCTCTCAGCTAGTCCCACTACAATAAGTGTGATTGTTGATGAAGTAAAGCATGACAACTTCTGACCCTTCATAGCCAGGTACTGTATTCATGATGTTTAGCGTAACATGCTTCAGTTTGCAGACATATATATGATTTTTGTTGATTAAACACGGATTGTTTCTTTTTTATTTTTACCGCCTGGAATAACACAATTTGGTTGGTAGGTACAATGACGAAGGAGCCTGTTTCTGACTAGAAAATGCACAAAAAACCCATTACCAGTCTTCCAGCAGAAAATTTTCCATTTATATTTGATTTTACCCTTCTGCAATATTTACAATCGGAGGATATATTAGGTCCTTGTGGGGACTCAGAGGAGGGGTGGGAGTGCAGCAGTGAGGGCGGGGGGTTGGGAGATGTGTGCCAGAGAGCTCAGGACAGGGGACTGGGAAGTGCAGGATTCAGGGCAGGGGTGGAAGGTATGGGAGGCTGAGGGTGGGGATTTCAGAGTTAGAGTAGGGGATGGGAATCTCAGAGCGCGGGTGTATGCAGGAATCAGGGCAGGAGAGCTGAGACCAGAGTGCTCAGGGCACGGGGTTGAGTGGAGAGGCTTACCAGGGCTGTCCATGGTGGCAGAGGTGGTGCTGCTCCAGCTGCAGCTTCTCCAGGGGGACTATGGTTGCACTGACATAGTGGCTACTCCTGGAGGGGAGAGGGGACAAGTGGCTCTTCCCAGGGGCTGAGGATGCACTACCCAGCCCTCCCTCAGCCAGTGGTTTCTGGAGGGGGACTGGCCAGCCCCCCAGCTGGCCAGCCTGCCTGGCCCCACCGGTGGTTCCTCTGGGGGAAGCTGGGTTGCCCATCTCCCCTGGTGGCTTCTCAAAGGGGACGTGACTGTCTACTCAAAGGGGAGCAGGGCTAGGCTGTAGTTCCTGGCGCCCCCAGCTTCTGCTTATGGAGGGGGAGGGGAGCTAGGGCTGGGCTATGGGCTACAGTTTCTGGCCCAGTCGCTGCTCCCCAAAGCTGAGCACTTGCTGCCCCCTATGGCCATTCTGTGGTATAACTGTCACCCAAGTTTGCTGCCCCTCTGCCTTCATTCTGGAGTATAACTACCCTGGTATCAAATCTCTCCCTTTTCATTTGATGAGAAATAATCATATTTCAGACGCATCCCATTTTCCTGGCACAACCTAACCCTGACCTGGCTTTAAGTTAGCAGCAGAGGAAGCGGCATATCAAATTTGATGGTCCTAGCTCTTACCATTTAGGAGAACTTATTTAACAAACAGAGTTGTGGACAGATGAAAGACGGACAAGTGCACATTTCTAAAATATATAGACAGATATTCTTAGCATTAACACAATGTGAAATCTTGTTTTACCTTTTATTAATATTTCCCCCATTTCTCTTTGTTCTTTTTAGCATCTGTCCTTAAGGGTTCTAGCAATAGGTGAGGTTTGGATATATGCAGTGGCTCTTTTACTAACTGTTCTTTTATTGGAAATGAAAGAAACAGGGCTCTCTCTTTTTTTGTGAAATAATGTTTCCAAATGGTATAAACAGCTGTGAGAGGATGTCAAGCAGCAGAAATGAAAATAAGAGCAGATTCTAATGAGATTACTCCTTAATACCAACGAGTCAGGACATTCTCCCTACTGACAGTCTGCTGAAAATATATTTTTGCATCAATTAACAGGATACAGGAGTACTTTTCATATAAGCTCCAAAACATGTTTCCTATAGTGCTTAAACTAGATGTTTCAGGTCTGCCCATATCTGAACCATCTAAGCGAGTATATCTGTCAAAAGCCCATTAGGAATTTACACACTCAGTAATTATCTGTTTATAATGATAAACAATGTAAACAATTTCATTACATGCCTTCAACATAAGTCATAAGTATATGACTATAATTTATGTTAGATTCTGCTAGCTTTTAAACATGGCACATTTATATTTTCTGGATTTCCACTATACAGTGCTGTTGCTTAACTGTCTCAGACTATAGTTTGAATGTAACCCAACATAACAGTTATTTCTGGTGACTAAACTTGTAAATACAATTCTGGTGACTATGGACATAGGTATTATTACAATATTAATCTAAAAATATTTTGCAGGGTAAACAATATTGATCAGTTCCATTGCAGGATACTTAGTGGACCGATCTGTGTCAGAAGAGTGCATTCTCTGGGAATTTTCTTTGACTTTGGAATTCACTGCCCCCTTGATCCAAAAAGCTCAAATCTGTTGGCCTTCAGGATATGCTGCAAGGGTAGCGTTTTGCAGGGACCATTTGGGAAATAAATTAATTGAGAGTTATGGTCTGAAGTGAAATGGGAGTTTTGTTTACAACTGGATTTTATCAGAGTGCCAGGCTGTCTGAAGTCTATAAAGCTGCATGTTAGTTATGTACTGGCAGGGCACTGAAGGCTTTTAGTTGGATGCTTTTTTAATTCAGGTAATAAATCCAGATAAATAAACAAGAACTTCCATATACATCCTCTGGCAATATCTACACTCCTCTTAGCAGCCAAATTTCCATAAAGATGAGCTAAATTGCCTGGATGCTCTCGGTGTTTATACAGTCCATGTACATACAAGGTCCAACATGCAACTACAAACCCTAATCTGTACATACACACACATAGAAAGTGGTGAAAATTTTGCCTTGGTGTCAGATACATTTGTGAAGAACTGTGTAGTGTCTTAGGCTATAAACCTCACTGCCTTTTGCACTCAGTGTAATTCCCAGACATAGTTTGGATTAGTGTAGCACACTACAATTAGCCTGACCACACAAGTGGTGACTGGCTCAGGCTACCATCCTGAGGATAATGCCATACATATCAAATGTGGCTAGACTGATGTTATGCTGCAGCAGCCTCACTATTTTTAGTGCAATTGCTCAATGAAAACTAGTACATGTACATCTTCTCATATAGGAATTAAAGTTTCAAGCTATTCTGTCGATGTATTCTTAGAAGCAGCACAGAGGGATATGAGGGTATGTCTACACTACAGCACTAATTCAAACTAACTTAATTTGAATTAGTTAATTCGAACTAAGGTAATTCGAACTAGTGCATCTAGACCTAAAAACTAATTCAAATTAGTGTTTTGCTCATTCGAACTAGCATGTCCACATTGAGTGGACCCTGAACTGAAGTTAAGGCTGGCTGGAACCAGTGCTGGCAGGGCATCAGGTTAGGACTTAGAGTATGGAGCTGCTGCCTCCGGCGAGCTGAGGGCTGTGCTTAAAGGGACCCGACCCCGACCCCGGACAGACAGTTCTCAGGGTTCCCCGCTTGCTTGTCTACCTCGATGAGGGACAGCAAAGCAGTCGTGTCTTGGAGTGCCCTGAGTGCCCACACTCGGCACATCACAGCACTCAGCCATCAGCCCAGCTGCACTTGCCATAGGCTGCCATCTGGGGGGGCCAATCGGGGGGCTGTCAGGATCCAGGAGGCCCTGCAGGAGAGCTTCCACCATGAGGAGCCCGCAGAGCCACCCCAGTCCTCCCCATCGGGAGCTTGTGCCCCATTCCTCCCTTACCTCCTTCCATTTACCCTTCCCTAGCCCCCCCTCCTGATGTAAAAAATAAAGGACACGTGTGTTCAAAAATAGAAACTCTCTTTATTTAACAAAACTGGAGGGGGGGATTGACCTCTGGGGAGACTGGGAAAAAGATGTGGGAGAGGCGAAGAGAGAGGGTGGGAGAGGGGAGGGGGAAACCTGGGAGGAGGGAGCTGGAA